TGGAGCACAACTTATCATTCCTCTGGCTGTACATGATGCAGAGTCACACCAGTAGTGTAATCATACATGTATATAAGGTATTGATGTCTGTCTCATTCTATCATCCTTCCCATCCCCATAGCCTTACCCCTCCCCTCCCTCCGCTCTGCACAATCCAAAGTTCCTTCATCATTCTTCCCTATCCCTTGTCCCCCACTATGGACCACCATCTGCTTATCAGAGAAAAAATTTGGCCCTTGGTTTTTTGGGATTGTCTTATTTCACTTAGCATGATGTTCTCTAGTTCCATCCATTTACCTGCAAATGCCATAATTTCATTTTTATGTAGGCTTTGTAATATTCTATTGTGTATATGTACCAAATTTTCTTTATCCGTTCATCTGCTGAAGGGCATTTTTATTGGTTCCATAGTTTAGCTATTGTGAATTGAGCCACTATAAACATTGATGTGGCTGTGTCATTGTAGTATGCAAATTTTAAGACCTTTGTATAAACCAAGGAGTGGAATAATTGGGTCAAATGGTCGTTCTATTTTAAGTTTTCTGAGGAATCTCCATACCGCTTTCCAGATTGGTTGCACACATTTGCAGTCCCACCAGCAATGTATAAGTGTACCTTTTCCCCCACATCCTCTCCAGCACTTATTATTGCTTATATTCTTGATAATTGCCATTCTGACTGGAGTAAGATGAAATCTTAGCGTAGTTTTGATTTGCATTTCTCTAATTGCTAGAGATGGTGAACATCTTTCCATATGTTTGTTGATCAGTTGTATGCCTTCTTCTGAGAAGTGTCTGTTCAGTTCCTTAGTCTATTTATTGATTGGGTTATTTGTCTTTTTGGTGTTCAGATTTTGAGTTCTTTATCTTAGAGGTTAGTGCTCTATCTCAGTGCATGTGATAAAGATTTTTCCCATTCTGTAGGCTCTCTCTTAACGTCATTAATTATTTCCTTTGCTGAGAAGAAACTTTTTAAATTGAATCCATCCCATTTATTGATTCTTAATTTTACTTCTTTTACTTTTGGAGTCTTGTTAAGGAGATCAGGTCCTAATCTGACATGATGAAGATTTGGGCCTACTTTTCAAGTGCCTAAGTCTTTGAGTTGATTTTTGTGCAGGGTAAGATAGAGGTTTAATTTCATTTTGATGCTAAGGATTTCCAGTTTTCCCAGCACCATTTGTTGAATAGGTTATCTTTTCTCCTGTATGTTTTTGTTGCCTTTGTCTAGACTGAGATAACTGTATTTAAGTGGGTTTGTCTCTGTGTCTTCTACTTTGTACCATTGGTCTACATATCTATTTTGGTGCTAATACCATGCCATTTTTGTTACTGTTGTTCTGTGGTACAGTTTAAGGTCCAGTATTATGATGCCTCCTGCTTCACTTTTGCTGTTAAGGATTAATTTGGCTACTCTGTGTCTCTTATTTTTCCAAGTGAATTTCATGATTATTTTTTCTACTTCTATGAGGAATGTCATTGGGATTTTAATAGGAATTGCATTAAATCTGTATAACAGTTCTGGTAGTATCTCCATTTTGACAATATTAATTCTACCTATCCAAAAGCATGGGAGATCTTTCCATCTTCTAAGGTCTTTTTCCATTTCTTTCTTTAGTGTTCTGTAGTTTTCATTGTAGAGGTCTTTCACCTCTCTTGTTGGATTGATTCCCAATTATTATATTTTTTTCTTTTTGAGGCTATTGTGAAATTCCAAATTTCTCTTGCTGTGGATTCATCGCTTATATATAGAAATGATTTGATTTGTGGGTATTGATTTTATATCCTGCTACTTTGCTGAATTCATTTATTAGTTCTAGAAATTTTCTGGTGGAATTTTTTGGATCTTCTAAATGTAGAGTCATGTCGGCAGACAGTTTGAGTTCTTCTTTTCTTATTTGTATCCCTTTAATTTCTTTCATCTGATTGCTCTGGCTAGACTTTCAAGGACTATATTGAATAGACATGATAAAAGAGGGCATCTTTTATCAGTTTTTAGAGGGAATGCTTTCAATTTTTCTCCATTCAGAATGATGTTGACCTTGCATTTAGCATAAATAACTTTTACAATGTTGAAGTGTTTTCCTACTATCCCTAGTTTTTCCAGTGTTTTGAACATGAAGGGGTGCTGTATTTTGTCAAATGCTTTTTCTCTGAATACTGAGATAATCATATGGTTCTTGTCTGTAAGTCTATTGATATGATGTGTTATATTTATTGATTTCTGTATGTTGAACCAACCTTGCATCCCTGGGAAGAACCCCACTTGATCGTGGTGTACTATCTTTTTGATATATTTTTTGTATTCAGTTTTCCATAATTTTATTGAGAATTTTTGCATCTATGTTCATCAGAGATATTGTTCTGAAGTTTTCTTTCTTTGATGAGTCTTTTTCTGATTTTGGTATCAGGGTGATACTAGCTTCATAGAATGATTTTGGAAAGGTTCCCTTTTCTATTTCATGGAATAATTTGAGGAGTACTGGTATTAGTTCTTCTTTGAAAGTCTTGTAGAAATCAGCTGAAAATCCGTCTGGTCCTGGGCTTTTCTTGGTTAGTAGGCTTTTGATGGCATTGTGTGTTTCATGGCTTGAAACTTATCTATTTATATTGTGTATGTCCTTTTGATTCAGTTTAGGTAGATCATATGTCTCTAGAAATTTGTCGATGTCTTTTGAGATTTTCCATTTTATTGAAGTATAAAGTTTCAATATAGTTTCTAAATATCTTCTGTATTTTGATAGTGTCAGTCATGATATTTCCTTTTTCATCACAAATTTCAGTAATCTGAGTTTTCTCTATCCTTCTTTTCATTAGTGTAGCTAAGGGCTTATCAATTTCTTTATTTTTTCAAAGAACCAACTTTGTTTTGTCAATTTTTTCAATTGTTTCTTTTGTTTCAGTTTCATTGATTTCAGGCCTGATTTTAATTATTTCCCGTTTTCTTTTACTTTTGGTGCAGATTTGTTCTTCTTTTTCTAGGGCTTTGAAATGTAATGTTAGGTCATTTATTTGTTGCCTTTTTCTTCTTTTAAAGAATGAGCTCAATGCAAGGAACTTTCCTCTTGGCACTGCCTTCATAGTGTCCCAGAAATTTTGGTATATTGTATTGGTATTCTCATTTACCTTTTTTTTATTTTTTATTTTATTTTTTTTATTTTTTATTGTTGGTTGTTCAAAACATTACAAATTTCTTGACATATCATATTCCACACTTTGATTCAAGTGGGTTATGAACTCCCACCTTCACCCCACTCATTTACCCTTAAGATTTTTTTTTCTCCTCCCTGATGTCAGAAGATACCAAAGCTGTCAAAAAAAAAATAGTGAAAATTAAAGGGAAGAAAAAAGGACATAATTGGTTAAGGTAGCCATTGGAATAACTCAATTAAATACAGAAATATGTGGTCTAGGATTGGGAGAAAACGTTGCGAGAGGTGTTTATTGGTACAGTGGATGAAAGTAAAATGTAGACTATAGATTAAAAACTATTAGCCAGGCACAGTGGCATATATCTGTAATCCCAGCGGCTCAGGAGGCTGAGGCAGGAAAATCCAAGTTAAAATTTATCCTCAGCAACGGCGAGGTGCTAAGCAGCTCAGTGAGACTCTGATTCTAAATAAAATACAAAAAAAGGATGGGGACTGGCTCAGTGGCCCAGTGACCCTAATTCAATTTCTGATATCCACCCCCCTCCCCCCAAAAAAAAGAAAAATTAAAAAAATGTAGTGAATTAACTTTCCTATGTACATATATGAATACACCACATGAATCTCAACATTGTATACACCCACAAGACTGGGATCCTATTTAAAATAAGATATATTCCATGTTTGTATAAATATATCAAAATAGATTCTACTATCATGTATAAACAGACAAATAAAAAAGAAAAAACGTATTGCATCAATGGTAACTTGGTTGGTAATTATGATGTGAGTTTTTAAGAAAATATTCTCATTCTTTAAATTTTTTTGTAGTTTTAGATGGAATAAATGCCTTAATTTTATTTTTTTATTTTTATGTGGTGCCTAGGAGGGAACCCAGTGCCTCACACATGCTAGGCGAGTTCTCTGCCATTGAGCTACAGTCCCAGCCCCAAATTCTCATTCTTAGGTTAATAGTGAAATAGCATGATATGTGTAGCCTATTCTCCACTATTTTATAAAGTGCTGTATATGTTTTAGAGAAAAAGTAAATGTGGCAGAATGTTAAAAATTAATACACAGGAATACTATTTTTACAGATTTAATTTGTTTGGAATTATTCCAAAATAGTTAAAAAAAAAAAAAAAAAAAAAACTTATGCCAGTTAGCCATTCCCAGTTCAATTATTTGTTTAGGTACTGAAGTTCTCCATTATGTAGAATTTTGATAAATATTTGGATAAAACAAACTTTCATTTCTGTATAATCTGTACTTAAGGCTATCTGTTATCTCAACTGATTTGAATTTGTGAACTTTTAAAGGATAAGACAGACAATGGTGACTAGTGTTGAAATTGAAAGAAACAGATTGTGTTCTTTTTAGAATCATGTTTATGTTATAAGGGCAAGTTTTGACACTAAAATTTAAAATTTTGAAATTGCTTTGTTTTTCTTAAATTATTTAAAAACATAATTACTGTTTATATACAGCATGTAATTTGAAGCTAACCAGAGATGAAAACATTCGGTTATTCCCATTTCTCATCCTGTAATTTTTTCATTATTTACTATAAACCTCATGTAGACAAAGTAGAAAAACTTTTGTATTGACTATGTAAGCGTTTTGCTCTGTACTACAGAACTCAAACAGAAAATCAGCAAACGTCTAGTTGTTTCTTTTTAATATATCAAAACGTAGGGAGCTAAGGTGAACTAACTCAGGGTGGAAATAATAAAGATAAATGCAAGTGGTATTTTCTAATATTTTAAATTAATTTCTACCAGCTAAATTTCCAACTTTAAACAGTAGTGAAGTACTGTTTTTTTTTTTGTTTTTTTTTTTTTTTTTTTTTAAGATATGGATGTAATGAGGCCTTTGATAAATGAGCAGAATTCTGATGGGACATCAGATGAGGAGCATGAGCAAGAGCTCCTGCCTGTTCAGAAGCATTACCAGCTTGATGGTCAAGAGGGCATTTCGTAAGTGTGATGGCTCACATGTCTCCCTTTTCTTTTAATTCATATTCTGTATCTTCTATAGGCAAGGCATTTGACCAGATACTACAGATGACAGAAAGATGAATAAGAGGTAGTCTTCACCTTCAAGGAGTTTATAGTCTATTTGGGAAAGAAAAAATAACATTTAAACCACTGAATAGTATATACGAATGACTATAATGATATATCAGTTGCTATGGGTGATGAGAGAAGGGAGATCTGATTGAGGCCACTTCTGCTATGGTTAGAATTAGATAGTAGAAGGCAGTAAACACTATCAAAGTGGGAGGTATAAAAAAAGAGGAAAACCGAAAGGTTTTTCAAAACTTTTTTTTGATTCTTGATAATCATTTATAAGTTCATATTCTAATAATAATTTAGTGATTAAACAAAACAACATGAAATTTGATCATAAGAGTATATGCTGAGAAAAATTTAAAGCTTTTTTTGTTTTATAGTTTGAATTTTGTGCTATTCTTCCTAGTTTCAATGCATTTCTTCTTAATCAAGAGATCTTCAGTTGCCTCCTAGAAACTGTTTTTAGGCTAAATCTCTTAAATAATTCACAATGTCCAAATATTAATTGTTAGCTTACCTGATGATACATATAACTGTAAAATTGTGTGTTGTTTATTTTTAATTAACTTTCTCTTAGATTGATAATACTACACAAAATATGTTTAGTACCATGATTACATAGTAGTGCCCATAAATTTCTTACAGCCTAATCTTCAACCTTGTTCTGAAAATCATAGCAGCTAAATATCTTATGAGAAAATTGCTGTTTCTTTATTAATTTCCCATGTGTAAACCACTTTCACTTAAATGTCTCATTTAATCTCCACAATAACCCTGTCTTTTCCACTTTTAAGTAGCAAAGACAGGATGTGAATCACATGTAACTAGTAGTGAAATGGAAATGTTTATTTGGTTCATTACTTAGATTAATTTCCAGTTCTAATATAATAGTAAAATCATGATCATGTGATTTTAGTAGTTTTTCTTCTAAAATGTTTAACTCCTACAATTTTTACTTTTTCAGATTTTTACAAACTCTTATGCATCTTCTTAAAGGAAATATTGGAACTGGCCTTTTAGGACTTCCATTGGCAATAAAAAATGCAGGAATAGTGGTAAGTCTTATCTTTGTAAATATCCAGTAAAGATATAGTTGTCAGCAAAAATTAATGTAAGCTAACCTCTAACCTCATCAAATATAACTTGGTCATGTAACATTTATTTGGTCATTTACCTGTTGTATTGATAAGATTACATGAACTATAATAGTGAGATATAACAGAACCAAGAATTACTATTTTATTTCTGCTTAATTACTTATTTGTAATATTTAATCAACTTCCTCCCCAAAAAAACATGACACAGATCTTTCCAGATACTTATGTCTTATTATTATTTTGGATTTTATAGCAAAAAATAGAGCAGATTATTTGCAGCATGTAACTCAGAAGAAAGTATTTAGTTTTAAGCTTTAAAGAAAAATAATAAACAGAGTCACAGTGTCTTAAAACAGATATATAAATAGCATTGTTAGAGAAAATTATTGTAATTTCAGAGAGCTTTGATGGGGAGAATTCTTTTTGTAGTAATACAACTGTAGCCAGCTTTTAAAAAATTGAGTATTTTCTTTAAAAGTTTTAACTATCATCTTTTTCTGAGTTTGACTGTTTTGTGAACCCTAATTTTAAGTAACTAGATATTTCCAATTATAAAAATAAACTTTGGCATTAGTGTGGCAGTGACTGAATAATCTGGTCATCATTTTAATTTTAGTAAATAAAGACTTGAAAATTTTGATATATCATTTTAAAAATAATCATTTGCTAATCAAAATTCCTAACAGATATAGAAGGGTTTCAGAAAGGAATCTGCAGTGGATTGCCTAAACCCTAGTTCAATATTGTGCTTCTTAGTCATTTAGATAATAATATGTGATTGCATGTATTATCAATGGTGGGACACTAGTAGTTGCAGATTTGCCATCTAATGTTAAATGTGATATTGTATTCCATTCTCCTATGCTGAATATCTATACATTTATTGGTTTAAGGAACCAAGTCTATAAGATGGAATTACACATGGTTGTCTTAAATATTACTTTATATTCTTCCTATATCACGTATCTTAATTTTCCATTATGCATATGACTTTGTTTTGTCCAATGAGTGGTTTTTCAGTTAAGCAAGTCCCATTAACCCATTGCTTATAAGAGTTCTCAACTTTTTAAAACTTAAAATGTTTAAGCTCTCTAAATTTTCTCTCCCACAGCTTGGACCAATCAGCCTTGTGTTTATAGGAATTATTTCTGTTCACTGTATGCACATATTGGTACGTTGCAGTCACTTTCTATGTCAGAGGTAAATGTGGATTTGTTAAGTCTATTTAATTTATTTTAAAGCTATGTATTTAGAGTTCAGATCATTTCATATTTATACTATGCTTTGAAACCAGAAGTTATATTCTCTTTAATTTGTTTTAAAGACAAATCTAAGATAACAATATATGGAAAAAGGTAGCATTTTACATGATGTAAGTGCTGTCAAAATGTGTTTACAGTCATGCCTTGGTATCTTCAGGGAATTGGTTCCAGGATCCCCATTAACACCAAAATCTGCAGATACTTAAGTTCCTCATATAAAATGACATAGTACTTGTATGTAATCTCTGTTTCTCCTCCCACATACTTTAAATCCTTTTTAGTTAATTAATACCTAATACAATGTTAATATGCAAATAGTTGTACAGTATTGTTTGAAGAATAATGACAAGAAAAAAGTCTTTATTACAGATGCATTTTTCCATGTATCTTTCATGCATAATTGATTGAATGCATGGGTAAGGAATGAATGGCTCTAGAGGGCTGACTGAACCTATCTTATTAATGAAATATGTTCTTCTTAGTGAATGAGTTCTTTTATTTAGTATAAATGGAAAGAATCAGGGAAGATATAAAGACACAATGGAGATAGCACAATGGTCTTCAGTTTTTAATAATTCAAATTTCAGGTACAGTACCTCTTGTGCACATCACAGCACTGATGTGTAGGTTTGTAGATAGTCAAGAAGGTCATATATGCTTTTTAAATTTTTTGTATCATGAAATGCTTCTACTGGACAATAAAGCAATTTTTTGAAATTAATATCTTCTAGTATACCAATATTCTAGTCTTGACTTGCTTGTTATTGTTGTTGTTAAGTGTTCTTTAAGGCGGCTGAGTTATTTATGATGTTCAGATAACAAGGAATACTGGAAAAAAGAGAGTGGAAGAGACTGGAGAAATAATTCCCACCTCATGGAGCTATATTGAAAATTAAATGAGATAGTGTATGTGAAAATATATTGTACAGCTCTGTACAGATATATTATTAAATAATGTTCTAAAAGTGTAATAATTTAGATATGTACAGTATAGTTGATGTTTTTAAGTATTTGAAACATTTAAATTAGCAAAGTACTAATATGTTTTCTGAATTCTACTGATACACACACACACACACACACACACACGCACTCTCTCTCTCTGTCTCACTCTCTCTCTTTAGCAGTAGGTGAAAATTTATTTGCTGGAGAAAAGGACAGATCAGATTTTAAAATTTCATGAGGTGTGTTTAGGAGTGTGCAGATTTTCAAATTTTGAAAATCCTGTCAATGCATAGCCTTACATTTATTAATTCCCATTTATTTGATGTTCTTTGTAAGGAATGGTTTATGGACCAACTTAATATTTTTCTTCTTCCTGTGTCTGCATGTCATTGGATTACAGGTTTAAAAAGTCAACATTAGGTTATAGTGACACTGTGAGTTTCGCTATGGAAGTGAGTCCTTGGAGTTGTCTTCAGAAGCAAGCAGCATGGGGACGGTAAGTACTTGCTATGTTTTTAGTGTCTAGTTGTTCAAATTATATTCATGTGTAAGTGTTTCAGTCTGATAAAACACATAAACAAAAGTATAATAAAAGTTGAGGGATCAAAATAAATAACCTTTAGAGTTAGATATGGGTCAAATCTCAACTCTACTATTTTCCGTTTTATGGTCTTGGTCTAATTATTCATATCTTTGGTTTGGATTTTTCACTATGAAGTGAATTTATGATAATACTTTACAGAATTACTGTAGTAGATTAAATAAAATTTTATTTACAAAGCATCAAGCCAGCCAATGACATAATCATGTTCAATAATTTTTCAACAAAGGAAAAAAAAGGAGAAAAATATGACTACCTCATTATTTCAAATAAAGCTGTGCATAAGACATCTCATGTTTCAGTACATTTTAACATAAACTTATTTTATTGTCTTATTATTTAAATGTAACCATTGGTGGACACAGTGAATATAAGCTAGATGAATATAGGAATAGAGTAAGGAAGTGTAAGTGATCAACAGAGTGCTAACTATGGTACCAATGAGTCATGGGAATTATCAGAAAAGAAAAAGCAGTGTTAGTAGAGTAGCTTGTGGTTTAATGTAGCCTTTCTGGAGATTTTCAGAAAGTTAGATTTGTTTATGAAGTTCTCAGTGTTCCTAATTTACAAGTGGAAGGAAGAAACAATCTAATAATCTAGGGACTTGCCTCCAGAAGCTAGAATACCAAATAAATCTTTCTTCTGGCCCAGACTAGAGACAGGTTTTCCCCCCTGTTCTATGAAGAATGGCTTTTAGATAGAAGTGGCTGAAATGCTTGTTGGTGGTACACTAAAATCAAAGGTGGATGAAAAGATATTAATGGAATACTTAAAACACTTCTAATATAATTCATGGTAGAAAAGAAACTTGAATTCATTTCATGGTTACAATTCATGGTTACAAGATAAATTATAAATAAGATCCCTGAAGAGCCATGGAGAATGGGAGTTATAACAAGAATGAAAACACGCAAGGACCTTCCAGTTTTAGATGGAAGAAGAAAAATACAGATTTTTTAAAACATTGTTAACATTGATGGTCAGAGAAGAGACTGTAATGAATTAATAAGTGCATGCTATAGTAGTCACTCATTATTTCTAGATCAAAAATGAAATATGGGGTATAAATTAACAATATGTAGGTAAATTTATAACTTGAAAACTCCCAATAATACCCACTTTGCTTAATGTCTCTGGTAATATTCTTTCCCAAATTGTGTATACTATTTACAAAGTAAAACTTTCTAGAGCATCTCACTAAATAATAAGAATGGAGAAAAGTTACTGGAAAGGTTTCTTATGTTATTACTTAGGGCTCCATTCCTAATCCTCTTACATTCTGTATTCTTATTAGTAATTTGGATAGTAACAAGCATGTTCATCATATTTTCAAATGATGTGAAGTTAGAAAGGGTGGGCCATACTCTGAGAAAAAGTTAGAAAGGGTGGGCCATAATCTGAGAAAGATCTTGAGAAGTAGGAGAGATGGGCTTAATTTGAAAGATAAATATTTTTCATGAAATCATTTTATAAGTAGATTTCCTTAAAATGTTAAATTTCAGAAACAGGTAATGATATAACAATATTGGGCTTTTAACTTAATTTCCATCAAACTCTATAATAATTCTAGTGATATATTGATAGTAAATAAATGATCTGTGTAGGAAATAAATATTTGATTTTTTTAATTTAAAGAGGTAAAATATATATAAAATATTTTAAAAGAGAGATTAACATATATTAAGTTTTCACTAGCTTTTACTGATACTTATTTGTGGATATCTCTTTTAGGAGTATGGTTGACTTTTTTTTGGTGATAACACAGCTGGGATTCTGCAGTGTTTATATTGTCTTTTTAGCTGAAAATGTGAAACAAGTGAGTATTTTTATTCAGTTCATGAACTCTAATGTCCTACTAGTAGCATCATATTTCTTCTATGGGAGCCATGGTTGAATATGAAAATGTATTCTTTTCATAAATTATCATTTGTAAATTTTTCTTTAGTCTTCTGTTTTGCAATTTGGATTTTTGCGATTGTTGATTGTTTTAGTCAGCTTTTTCACTGCTGTGACTAAAAGACCTAACAAGAACAATTTTATAGGAGGATAAGTTTATTTGGGGGCTCATGGTTTCAGAGGTCACAGTCCATAGACAGTTGGCTCCATTCCTTAGGGCTCAAGGTGAGGCAGAACATCATAGTGGAGAGAAGAAGCTCACATGATGATCAGGAAGCAGAGAAAGAAGCCTCACTCACCAGATACAAAATATATACCCAAGGCACCCCCCCAGCCCCCCCACCCCCACCCCCCATGACCTTCCTCCTTCAGTCACACCCACTGTCAGTTACCAGTTGTTTAATCCCTATCAGAGGAGTAATTCACTGATTAGGTTAAGGCTCACATAACCCAATCATTTCTCCTCTAAAACTTCTTGCATTGTCTCACACATAAGTTTTTTTTGGGAAACCTAATATCTAAACCATAACATTGGTACTGCTGTTCTTGTCATAATATCAGTAATGCCTGTTCTTTCAAATCAAAATATGATATGATTTGCTGATTCTTAGTTACTTCTAACTTATATCTCAAAAGCATACCCATAGATACTTTTGGAGCATATTCTTTATGTTCATGTTCTCTAAAGAGTGTACAAGGTTTTAACCAGCAGCCTAACAAAGGAGGTAGAAAACTCAGCATTTATTTCTGTTTTTGTCAGCTTTTTTGCTGCTGTGACTAAAAGATCTGACCACTCAATTAATCCCACTAGGGATTAATTCACTGATTAGTTTAAGGCTCTCACAACCTAATCATTTCCCCTCTGAATACTCTCACATTGTCTTACATGTGAGCTTTTCAGGGACACCATGTGTAAATAATAACAATTACTGAAATCCAGTAATTATGCCATTGTTTAAAAAGACACTGTCTAAAAATGTGTATTTTTCTGTAATTCTCCCTATAGTATAAAGGTTTGTTTTAAGAGGAAGTGGCTTATAGCCTTCATGTAGAGATTGTCTATTTAAATAAACGTGCAAATCACTGAAATAAAAATTCCTACCAGAACAATGCTAAAGCACATTTATTTTTTTTTATTAGAAGATTCTAGTTATTTGTGGTAGTTGGGTACATTTTGAGAAAATCATATATGTATGGAGTTTTATTTACGACATTTCAGTCCCTGTTCCCTCCCACTTTTTCTCCTTTCCTGCCTCCTCCTATTCTCCTTCCTTTACTCTACCGATCTTTCTTTCCCTTATTTATTTATTTTTGATTATTGCCAAAGTACATCCATTCGTGATTGATGTTATTCCTATGTTACCCCTGCTATACTTTAATCATTTTTCATTCAATGACTTTATTATTATCTATGTATAGTACAATAAGCATTACATGTAGTAATATGTAGAAGTGCATTTTTATGCAAATGATGATACAATTATATTTTCTAAAGAATCTTTATGTACATACAAATTTATAATTCACTTTTTCTAAGTATAAAGTATGCTTTGTTTTATATTAAGAGCAAGAATTTGTAAACTTTTTCCGTAAAGAATCATATAATAAGAATTTTCCACTTTGTACATCATGTGGTCTCCATTGCAACTACTTAACTTAACCTTCGACAACAATATATAAACAAATATATATGCATTCTAGTAAAGTTTTATTTGAAAAATAGGTAGTAAGCCAGATTTTGTCTGTAGGCGGTAGTTTGCTAAACCCTGATTTTGATTATCCCTGTATATTTATTATATTCAAGCCACAAGTTTAGTTGTTCAATATTGAAAAACCAAATGGAGCTCTCTTATAGAAATGACATAAATTTTTAAAGGGTCCCAGTTATTTAATAACTAGAATTTGGATCTCTAGAGAAGTGTTTTGCCCAGGATATCACTTTTCAGTATTTACTGAAGTTTTATTTATATTTGGAAAAGTTCTTAACTTGGCTTTCAGTGTTAGCTGTTCTGTGAAACCTTTAGCTATTTCTCCATGCCATCCCTTTCTCCATCTTTTGCTAGGATTTATTGATTTTTTTTCTTTTGGCCTCTATAACACTTTAAAAAATAGCCTTAATCACATTAAAGTTAATTTAGAAATTATTTTTTACCACTAGACTGGAAGCCCCATGAGGAAAAGGACCACTGTACTTGTTGTGTTTATCTCTGTAAACTATCTTGTAAGAGTACCTGGTTTCTAGGTACCAATATGGTCATTGGATTGGAAGGGGAATAAACTCACAACAGACTGAGAGGGATTTTGAAATTTCCCTTCTCTTTATTTCTTAAACCTAGTGTTGTACCTGTTTTTTTGAGCATATGTTCAATAAAATTTTGTTAACTGAAAGGGTTTAGCCCTTCTGTTTGATTTTTCCCATCGATAGTGTCTGCGCCACTTATTTTCATCCTTACTCATATATCCTTCACTCCATTTTCTTTGTCAACTCTTTTCTTTCAGTCCATCCATAACTGTTTTAGCTTAGTTTCTTACTAAGCTAGTTCTTCCTGCATCTATAAAAAGAATGGTATCAAGACATTGGTGTTGTGACTGCTAGCAGTTTTTTTTATCATATTTCATACATTAGATTCAAGTGGGTTACGAACTCCCATTTTTACTGCTAGCAATTTTAATAGGAGGGTAATCTTAGATGTTGTCTCTACTTGAGAGCTCTAATAAATTATGTAGTTTGTTTTTTTGGCCTCATTTTACTATTTATTTTTTTCAAATATCCTGCTTCCAGGCTATTTATTCTCTCCTCTCTTTCCCTTGATACTTTCAAATAATTAAGTTCTTATAAAACAAATTTTCTGGAAGATAAGTATGTAATCTAAATCATTGTTGTTCCTTTAGATATAGGTGTTTCCTCAAATATTGTAGTTATAAAATAATGAGTGAAAGAGTAGTGAAAGGAAGCAGAAATGAGAGATGTGGATAATATAGAAAAGACCAATAGCAATTGGAGTTAATTAGAATTCTGTTTATACTCATTTGTTTACCAAAATAAAGTGTCAGTGTTTTCATTAGCATTACTCACTCTAAATGATGTGCATTAGATATTACAAGTATTTAACTTCAGAAATTGCTTATTCTTAGGACTCCTCATTCATCATGAGGCCATTTAAATTCAGAACTGATAACTCATCTTACCAATCATTTACATAGAATATTATGGGAATAATACCTTTCTAGGATTGTACAACATGGTAGCACTATATCTTTTCCAATATCTCCTAAAAGAGTCACCAGCAAGCTGTTTGAATCTAGGAATAATATTGATAATGCCTTGCAATTTTATATTTATAAGCTATGGCATATAATCTCTGCAATGGCTCTGTAAAGTATTATGCTTTTTTTTCTCTTCTTCTTTTTATTTTGTACTAGGGATTGAACCCAGGGACACTTTATCACTGAGCCACATCCCCAGCACTTTTTTATATTTTACTTACAGACAGGGTCTTACTAAGTTGCTTAGGGCCTCACTAAGTTGCTGAGGCTGTCTTTGAACTTGCAATCCTCTTGCCTCAGCCTCCCTAACCACTGGGATTATAGGCATCCACCACCATGCCTGGCTGTATTATGCTCATTTTATGAAGAAATCTCACAAAACATGAGTAATATGCTCCAAGTTATGTGGAATTAGTTTGAAACCTAGGTGTCTGCCTGAGTTGCCACCCAATATATTATTTGCTTATCTCTGGACAGGATATTTTCAGATATTAAGGGTATGTGTGTGTATGTGTATGTGACATGAATAGTGGAAAAAATGGAGACAATAAATGTCTAGAAGCTTTGGGTGGCTTTCTTCTATGAAATATTATAGGTTTCTTCCAAAATTGAATAGAAAAGTTTAACTTATTTGTACATTTTCTAAGAAGATACATAGAAAACATGTTGCTCTAGGAGGAAGAGAGAACACCTGCTGTGGATAGAAAGGTGAAACTCTTTTGGAGGCATTAAGAGCAGCATGGAAAAAGACAAAAAGGCTTTAGAAAATAGCTGAAATTAATAATGAACACATCACTAGGCAGAGTAGGTAGATGGTCACTAAAGCAGCATGAGGTTAGAGATTTTCATTCTCTCTCAAGAGGTGTTCTTTTACATTTGATAGCAGTATACAATAGTGCACATACTGGTTAATTAAACCTTACCAATTATTACTGCTGTTATCATTAAAAGCTGCCTTAATGTACATGAAATTGAAGGTGCAATATTTCATTAACACAAAGAAATAAGGGTTTCATTGCCATCCAGATATGGAAACCTGCTCTCTAGCTGCCACACAGCTGTTCTTGTTCTCATGAAGCCATTATGGATAGTCAGTGGAGAAAAATAACCCTAGTGCTTTTGACTGTAGGCCATCATGGTTCTAATCACTCTTCCCTTATTGCTTTAGATACTCTAGAAAATTTCAAATAGGTACAATAGTGTACATGGACATAGAGAGTGAGGAAGAAATATTATAGTAAAAGGAAAAAATGTAGTGGTACCAGATTCATGGACAATAGTCAGAAGATGTGAGTTCATATCCTTGCTCTCAGTTTTAACTTACCTACTAATCAAGATCCCCTTATTTTTGGCCAACCCTCTGTTTCCTTGTTTGTAAAACTGGAGTAGTAACAAAATTTACCCTTGTTCCTCATAAACTTATTGTGAGGCTTAGATGACACAGAAGGTTTGTGAAAGCCTTTGTGAAATGTAAAACAGTATTCAAATGTAGGGAATTATTTAATATTGTATTTAGTTTACTAAAGAACATAATCTGCCTTTGGAATTTTAATCATAAAATTACTGAGTCATTGAAAGTTAATAATAGTGGGTTTTAGTAAATTTGAGCTCTAAATGAATAAAACTGAATTTAGTAATTTTATTTTATAATATTTATTCCAGTGTTTTACATTTTGGTAAACATGTGAGACCATAGGAAGTCCTATTAGCCCATCTCTGTCTCTAGAGGGCACCAAAGGACTCAAATGTTTACCTGAATCTTGCTCTAGGTATGTATCTACATTTTTTATTGTATTTTTTTTAATCCTGAGAAATTTCATAACCATCTTTCTGCCAGAGAATGCTAAATTTTTATTAGATATTGTAATAGAGCTAATTTTTAAATTTCTAAGCACCTAATAATTCAAACAGCCCTTTAAAATTTTGTTTATGTAACTGCCATTCTCTTACCAGGAATTTTTGTTAGAGTTGAAGTTGATCATTACATAATCCAATAATCAGAAGTACTGCTTTAATAAGAAGTGTTTGACTCTAAAGATTTGGTTACTGAGAAAATTAAGCCAACAATTGAATATCTTCTTAAAAGCCATGTATTGTAAATTAATAATTTTGGTTCAATTTCAAATTATAAAACACAAAATATAAAGTTTTGATGGCCAGTTACATGAAATGATGAGCAGTGCATTTCTTAAATGGTGCATGGTATAATTTGAGGGTTTGTTAGGTCAGTGTGAATTATAAAATGCCTATGTAGCTTAAAAATCTACTAAATTCCCTACCATCTAAGATAACATATGTGTTTGTAGTGATTAATTAAACAATTCTTATCATGGATTTTAAGTATAAAAGTAGAGTAAAAGGAACATGAATTATAAGCCATATCAGAATTTTGTTTTAAGTGTCTGATTTGTTTGCCCCTTAATATTAGGTACCTTTCAAGAAAGATGTCAGAGTAGAGGTGGGTAGCTTTTTGGACATAGTACCCTTCTTCAGGTAGTATTATTTTGGTCAGCTTAATATCTAGGCTTGAGTTTGCATCCTAGGACCACCACTCATTGGCTCTATACTATGCAAGTTTTTTCTTTCCCCTTCTGCAAGCCTCAGTTTTCTCTAGTTTGAATTGAAATTAATACTGTAACCCACTTCTGAGAATCATTTGGAAGATTAAATGAGATGTTTAAAAAGCTTTTAGTTCAGTACTTGATACATAGAAAGCACTAAAAAAAATGCTAGCTGTTACTATTATAGGATCTGTTTCTTAAGAATATAACCAGATGCTTGACGATATCAGTGTGTTCAAAGGAGGTTTGGTTGCAAGTAATTTTTCATTGGTATTTAAATTATAATCTGATTTGCCTGTGCTATAAGTTTTGAAGATTGTTTCTAAATTCTACTGTAATTTTGTTTCTATTTTAGAAAGTTGGATTACATGACTGACTGAATCAGAGACAGATTTTTAACATGAAATTTATAAATTCTTGCATTTCTTTGAAAAATATAAAAATTGCATTATAAAATTGGTGAATAGGCTTTTAAGTGAAACTGATTTCTATTGTAGAAATTTTCTAGCAAAAATTATCTATTGTGTAACATAGCAATGTGAATTTTGTGGATTCTTAGTAATATTGATAATGATGATAATTTATAAATAGTTGCTTTACACACATTTTAAAGTTAGTCTGTGATTTTTAAATTTTACTTTGACTTCTTTAAATTTTACTTTGACTAAGTATCTAAGAGATACTTAGTGTTTGTTTTATATTCTGAAGAAAGTAAGCTGAAGTAGAATATCCCTGGTCATTCTAGACAAATGTGCTCCCAGTTTGATGATCTCAGAAATGGATCTTTTGAGTCATTGCAGGGATCATGAGCATCATAATCACAAGCTTCAGATTAAATTAGTAAACTCATCCTTATAATTTTCTCGTGAACTTTTTTACAGTACAAAAAATAAGTTATCTTGCAAAGAATGTTTTCCTACCTTAATTATTCTTATATGTTTCTAGGAAGCCAGAGTATCCAGAAAATATAAATGTTTTGTTATACAGTGTGTCACAATGTATGTAGATTGTAATTTTTTTTCATTTCTCTCTTATAAGTTGATGTGTGTCTTTCCTCCTCCCTTATTCCCCTGGTAATCCTGTATAGGTTCATGAAGGATTCTTGGACAGTAAAGTATTTGTTTTGAATAGTACCAATTCGTCAAATCCATGTGAAAGAAGAAGTATTGACCTAAGGATATACATGCTTTGCTTTCTTCCATTTATAATTCTTTTGGTCTTCATTCGTGAACTAAAGAATCTATTTGTACTTTCATTCCTTGCCAACATTTCCATGGCTGTCAGTCTTGTGATAATTTACCAGTACATTGTTAGGGTAAGTATGACATATTTTTAACTAAATGTCATATATTTCCTACACAAGTAAAACTTTTGTTTACTTTGGAGTTAAAAGTAATGACACATAAAGACTGTTAGTGCACATCTGGCCACAGCAGACAGTGGTAAACCTTGGTTTCTTTCTGGGGGATACTGCTAATTTGAAAGTGTGTGAAGTAGTGGTGACAAGTACAGGCTCTTTAGTCTGGCCTGGTTTTAGGTGTTGGTAAATATGCTTCTTGGCTTTGTGTCAGTGCTTCAGAAGACAATGCTACATACCTATAGAGTTCTTGTGAGATTTAGGGTTGTGGTCTCAGTACAGTGGCTCACAAGGAACAATTTATTAAGTATATTATCTTTTCCTTTAAAATTTGAACCAGTAAAAATTTATGGGGAAATGTATGTAGTTCCACAATTTTCTTTCACTTCTACATATTTATTTTCTGCCACTGCTTCAACCCACTTCCACTGTACAACTCTGTAATCCCTTTGTATGAAGTATATGCAATAACCTGAACTAATTTTATTATTCATTCTGGGGATTTTTCATCACAGTTTCTTTAAAACCTCTCAGGGTTCAGGGAATCTGCAAATCCCTTAGAATTGTTTTTAAGATTTAGTCTCTCTCCCTGTCTCTAATCCTCCTCCTTCTCCTTTTCCTCCTCCTCCTCCTTTTCCTCCTCCTCCTTCTCTTTCTTCCCTCTCTCTCTAGATATATACATATATATGTATACACACACACACACTTTTCTCTGCTAAGCAGCTGTATGGCTTTCATCTCTCAAAGGGCCAGTTACCCAGAAAAGGTTGAAAATCCTTGTTCTATTCCTCCTGATATAATCCTTCTTATATGTTTCTTCAAAGGTAATTGTTGCAAATCTCCATAACAATTTAATTGCAAACTCTTATTGTGGGTCTGTATTTCATTTTTCTCTTCTTTGATTTCCCAAACCCTTATTCTTTCTTACAGTACTTAAGAGTGTAAAGGGACAGGAAAGAAGATCCCATAAGGCTTTCTGGAGTTCATGACCCCTTAGCTGAATGTGTAAGACTTAGCAGGCAGAAAAGGTGGTTCCCTGGATAGAGGGAAATGGCATGAGCTCATTCATGAAGAAGTGAAATAGCATCCTGCTTGCCTTTTCTAACAGTTAGTGGTGGCAAATAATTCAGACCCTTCAAACTTCTTTTCTAACCCTGGCCTACGTTTTTGGACCTGTATCACCTTTTATCATACAGTTATACCTTTGTTTCCATTGTTCCAGCCCTTTCTATTCCCTAAATTGTCCTTGTGCTTCATGCTTAAGTTGCTTTGTTCATCTGCTTTTCTTGACCTTGAATTCTGCGTCTAGTCAGATAAGCCAGAGAATGCAGGATGGTGAGGAAGTAGGGACCAGACTTTGGAATCTGGAAGAAGTGGTTGTTGTAGACCCAGAGAGTTTGAACAAAATATGCCCTTTGTGAGTTTGTCAGATTGTGAGAATTAGAAACAAGGCTATGTATCAGGGTTATGTAATCAAAACCAGAGTCAGGTCACCTATACAGAAATAAGGGTAATAACAACTGTTAGCTCACTGAGTAAATACTGAAACCAGAAGAAACTTATACTGGGAGCAGCAGCAGAGCTGTGAAACAGAAAGCCAGAATCAGGAACCAAGTATCTCAGAGGCCTAAAGGAGCAATGATAGTAGAGTGGAGAAAGACTTTCTGTTGAGTACCAAAAGCAGTGTTTGTTAACTAACCATTTGGCTCTCAGCCTAGACCTGAGTGTGCTTTTGTATTTTCTGTTGCGGCAGGAGCCACACCCAGTGTGCACAGTCTAGAACTTACAGGTGGAAACAGGTAATCAGGAGAATTTTGCTCAGATGGAATGTGTGGCCATAAGGAAAACAGTTGCTTTGGCAATTAAATCCTAACATTTTGCTACATTTAACATAGGCTGCTTAAAGTGTTTATTGAAAGAAATATTATATAATATATAACTCACATTTCCTGTTGTGAAGCTCAGAAGAATGGGATTTTACTCTTTCTTTCAAAATTCTTTAAAATAAATAAATATATTATCTGTTTTTTCCCCTTTCTGCAGAACATGCCAGATCCCCACAACCTTCCAATAGTGGCTGGTTGGAAAAAATACCCGCTTTTTTTTGGTACTGCTGTATTTGCTTTTGAAGGCATAGGAGTGGTAAGAATTAGTCTGTATTATTTTTAAATATTAAGTTATCTCAAAGACTAACATTGTGAAGCTATGTAAAAATGCATATTGATTTTTTCTAATTTCAGTTTTCCTTATTCTGGGAACATGATTTCCAGTTTGGTATGGTAGATTTATATTATAGTTTAGTTCTTCCATGAAGAGTTTAATCTTAAACATATTAATTCCTTCTTTATTTGTAAATGATTTTAACATCGTATTATGTAATTTTAAATCTATACAAAATTTGGAGAGTAGTATAATGACTGCCTGTGTAAGCATCACCAGCTTCCAAAATTTAACTGACCAGCTTCCAAAATTTAATTCAATTTGTTTTATCTGTACTCCACATACTTAAGCACATTCCAAACATTTTATAGGCTAGATTATTTTAAGGAAATTGAAATTATTACTATATTGTTATATAAAATTCAAATATAAATTTTTAGCAGTTAATGTTTCCATATGAAATGGACTTATTCACATGAAAAGTCAGAATAGTAATAGCAATACTACTTCCAGAGCTATTCTGAGAACTGTCTAAGATGCTATTTCAAAGCTTTTAGAATAATAGCTGCTGTACTTAAGCACTTAATAAATATTTGTTATTTTTATTATATACTGTCATTCCCTGTACAGCTAAATTATGTTTTGAATATTAACCTAAAAACCTTGATTTTTTTCAATTAGCCTTTTCCTTAAAAGTTACTTTTATTCAATGAAAACCATTTACTATCTTTAATGAAATTGACAGACAATCGATACAAATGGATAGATACAGAACCAGTTACAGGTGTATGCATACATGTGTTAGTATACACACATGTATTTCCTAGCTCTGTCTCCTGATAGGACCTACAAGGAGTGACATCTAGAAGAAACAAGCATGCCCATAACCCAGATCTTTATTTCTAAATACACTTTTCCAACAAAAGAACTCAAGTTCTTTAGAGACAAATGACTGATTTTAGGGCTGAAGCAAATAAATTCAGGATGAGTCTGGAGTGCCAGAAAGTAAGGAAATGCTTAAAAACAAAAGAATGGAGACACATCAAAAGGACACAGGAGCTATCCTAATAGAATTCCGAATGGCCAAGGTTAAAGCAATATGTCTGACCAAATGCATAACAAGAATATTTGATTATAATTCCATGTATTAAACAAATCTGTCAGTCCATGCTAATATGAATAAATGATTAAGCAAATAAATACATGAGGAAGAATCTCAAATGATTTATGTGGAGACTTCTCCCTCTGGAAGGTGTAGTTAATTTCCCATTAGTTTTTGGAGTATGGGCTCAATTTAGAATATAAAAAGAATATGATGAAAGGAGAAAAAAAAATAACTTTGTAGCAGAGAAGCCCGGCAAAATACCTTAATGAAGTGATCAAAATGAACTTCACCAGGCATAAAAGCATATGATGACAAGAGCACTTCCCCTCTGTGGTATTCTTTAAAACCTATAATCCCAAACTAGTCACAAAGAAAATGTTGGGCAAACTTGAATAGAGAGATACTATGCAAAATAGCTAATCCATACTGCTAAAAAAAATTCAGTATAATGAACAAGAAGGAAAGATTGAGAAACTACCAGAGATTAGAAAAGACATAGGAAGAAAGCTGGCAAAATGCAGTGTTATCCTGGATGGGACTCTGGAAGAGAAGAAGGGCATTAATGGAAAACCTAATACAAATGAAGTTTGGAGTTTAGTTACTAGAAATGCACTGCCACAGTCTGGCTGGGCACAAATGCCGCAGTCTGGCTGGGCACACAATCACGAGCCACCACACAGCTTGTAGATTCAAACAGCAACTCTTTATTCCCGAACTCACACCAGCCGTCTACAATCACGTTCTGGGGAAATCCACGTTCTCTGCCCAAATCCCCCTCCACTGGGCTTCTATCTCCAAAGTATACTGTCTGAATCCCGTGAGAACTCAAGGGGAACTCAGGCAGCAGGATACGCCCTATTCCCAGCAGGAATAATCTTAAACCTTAAACCTGGAACCTAAACTGGGAACGCCCTAAGCACGATTATCTTAAAACCGGGAACACCCTAATCTGCCTTGGTCCTTGAGCAAGGTCACCTACATTCAATGTCACTGCAACATGTCAGCAACATGGGGTAGGCTGGCAAGGAAATTGTCATACCTACTTGGCTAATGGCTCCCAGCATCGCACAAATAATAATAACATAAAAAATTGGTTTATAGTTGTAGCACGTGTGACATGGTAAGTAATATGTTCACAGTGGGGGGAACTTCTTGAGGGATATGTGAGAACTCTGTAACTTTTTTGTAAATCTAAAATTATTCCAAAATAAAAAAAAATATTTAAGAAATGGACAGGTTTGCCTGCCAAGGACTAATTTTTAAATATTTAAAAAAAACATTTTAATGTTTATTGTAGAAAATATAGGACAAGGTAAAATCCTTTAATAATTATATGCATTATTTTAAAGAAAGATTTTGTATATAAACTATAAAAAGACCAATTTGAGACCCTGTTATTTTCAAACATACTTGAATCATATTCTCTTTAAAATATTTATATTTTTTTATTTTAGGTCCTTCCACTGGAAAACCAAATGAAAGACTCAAAACGCTTCCCTCAAGCTCTGAATATTGGCATGGGGATCGTTACAACTTTGTATGTGACTTTGGCTACTTTAGGATATATGTGCTTTCGTGATGAAATCAAAGGCAGCATAACTTTGAATCTTCCCCAGGATGTATGGTAGGTGGATATGAGTTCATCCTAGTTTTTGTGTTTTATAGATAGAGCTTACTGCCTTCAATGGTAAAGGTATGTTGGATTTATGATTTAATCATTTAAAACATTCACTGTGATTTATTTATTTGGGTAACCTGGATTTTTTCATAAGTCTCTGAGGAGATCATCTATGAATTTGTGGATCTCTGTGGGATTTAAAAAAAGAATTTAAAAAAATTGTGTTTCAAACATGAGTCATGTGTAAAAGCAAAATATGAATTATTATAGTATGGACACACTGTTATAGAAAAATACTCATTCCTGCTTCCAAAAAAGCAAAGACATTGGGTTTTTGATAAAATAACATCTCATCATTTATGGTCCTTAGTATTCTACTGGTCAGCTTTATATTATATGTACTTCAAATTGATTCAGAATCCAATTGGGACTCATTTCTAATAATGAAATGATGCATCTTAGTGTTTTAATATTATAATCATAGTCTTGTAAATGAAGCAATCAATATATGTGATTTTTCCTAGAGTTTTTTGGTGTTTGGGAGTTTTAACAAAGTATTAGCAGTGATAATGATATAGACTTAATTTCTTATTTACAAAATGGATAATGCCTTAGTTTTGATAAATGAAAAGAATAAATGCTAAGTTGCTGTTTTACTAAATGTCACACTGCTCCTTCAGCTACTTGGCTGGATGTCAGTGAAACTTTATCTTTTGGGGTACTTGGGATTGAACTCAGGGTCATTCAAGTGCTAAGCCACATTTCCAGCCCTGATTTGTATTTAATTTAGAGACAGGGTCTCACTGAATTGCTTAGGGCCTAACTATACAATTGCTGAGGCTTGCTTTGAACACATGTTCCTCCTGCCTCAGCCTTGCGAGCCACTGGGATTATAGGCGTGCGCCATGGTGCCTGGCAGGAAGTCTGTGAAATTTTAAATATCTCACCAGTGTAGAGAAAATCAGCAACAGCAGAAATTGTGTTTTCTGAATGGCTTCCTGATGAGAGTTTATCTGTTATTTAATTATCATTTGCATTCAGGGAATTTTTTGATTAAATATTTTGTTAGGACAAATGCACATAGGAAGCCATTCAAGTCAGAGGAATGTAAGTAGGATAGTTTCCAGGTGTCAGGGGGCACACATTCAGTGTGTTTATCTTATTTTTTTAATCATAATTTTACCTTAGTGACATTTTGTTAATATTTCAAGGTGGAAACATGTTTCAAATGTTGTAAATGTATTTCAGGATGGAGTCATGATTGCAAAGAAGCTATATATATTTAATTTACCCATGTTATAGTTAATTACATACTTTTGTTTCCTTCAAATATATATTTTTCTTTTTAATATATAAGGACTAGAAGCTTAAACAACTTAACTGAAAAGAATGAAGGCTAAAAATTATGATAGTATAGTTCATATTTTGAATATTGTAAAATATCTAGAAAATATATATTTTTTCCAGTTATAAGCCAGTAACATTTAGACTAAATCTTAAAAATAATAATTTAAAATTGGACAGGTATATTTTATTATCTATATTTTTTAACTTTCTGGTTGATACATAATATTTGTACATGGTTATTAGACAGAATGCAGTGTTTTCATTCAGATATGCATTGGATAGTAATCAACCATCATCTCGGATTTTTATCTTTTCCTCATGGTGAATATACTCAAATTTCTTCCTCCAAGTATTTTGAGAAGAGAGCATGCATTTAAAAAAAATTTTCCTGTAGCTTTATTGCAGTAAAATTTAAGTACAATAAAATGCACATATTTCAAGTATGCAATTTGATCAGTTTTGATGTGTATTGTAACCAATACAATCAATATAAAAAGCATTTCCACTACTTTTTAAAAAATTGGAAATCATGCAGACTGTGTTTCCTGTATGAACACTTATGAATGTCTTTGAGGTCAAGGAAGAATGTATAATAAAAGTAATAAAAAATGTTTTGAATTAAGTGATGATAAAAGCTTAAGATATCAGAATCTTTGGGATCAAACAGTTCTCAGATGAATATTTATAACTTAAAGTACTTGTATCAGAAAGAAGCTAGAATAACAATCAAATTATTTTCAAATTATGTACTAGGAAGGAAAAGATAAGAACAGTAGCAAAAATATATGAAATAGAGAAGAAATAATACAGCTAAAATTTGATAAAAATCAAACAATTCTAATCAAGAGAAAAGCAAGAACACAAAAATTAATATTAATAAAAAGGGAGATATCAAGATAACTCTACAAATGCTAAAAAATATATTAAGGTAATATTATAGTTGATGCCAACATATGTGATAGTTTACATAACATGGTCTATATTAGAGAAAGATGTGTGCTGCTGAGAAGAAAGTGTATTCAGTCATTTATTAATGAAATAGTTTATATATGTCAAGTCTAAATTATCAATTGTATTTTTTTACTTCTGTAGCTTCTTTATTTAGTTTTTGTTTGGAGGATCTATCCAGTGGCGACAGAGGCATGTTAAAATGATTATTGTGTTGTGGTCTGTTTGGTTCTTGAAATTGAGATGAGTTTGTCTGATGTATGTAGACACTCCCTTGTTTGGGGCATAAATATTTATGATTGTTATGTCTTGTTGATGGATAATTTCCTTAAGCAGTATGAAATGTCCTTCATTGTCCATTCTGATGAATTTTGGCTTGAAGTTCATTTTATCCTTTATGAGGATAGAAACCTCTGCTTGTTTACATGATCCATGTGAGTGAGAGATCATGCATTATTGTTAATTATATTCACCTTGCTGTGCCATCACATCTATGAGTGAGATCATGTAATTTCTGGTTTTGCCTGATTTACTTCATTTAAAATAGTGTCCTCCAGGTCTGTATGTGTTGTCACATATGATAGGACGTCATACTTTTTATGGCTGGATTTTATTCCATTGCATATATATATACACCACATTTTCTTATTCATTTGTTCGTTGGTGAACATTTAGGTTGATTCCATATCCTGGATATTGTGAATGGTGCTGCAATAAAGTGTCTTTTCATCATGTGATTTCATTTTCTTTGGTGATATAGCCAGCAGTGGGATTTCTGGATGGTATGATAGGTATAATTTTAGTTTTGGGGAAACCTCAGTACTTTACTCCATAGTGGCTATACTAATTTACATTTCCATCAACAGTGTATAAAGTCTCTCTTCCTCTAAATCCTTCCTAGCATTTGTTATTTTTTTATCTTTTTGAGAGGAGCCATTCTTATGTGGGGTTTTTCTTCTCATTGAACATTTTTTCATTTATATGTTGGACATTTGTATGTCTTCTTTTGAGAAATGTGAGAGGGAGTTTTAATGTTGAATATAAAACAGGTAGAAGCAATCTCAAAATTGTTCTCTACTCTTATTCACAAAGCATTTAAGGAAAATTTTATAGGAGAAGGGACAGAAGAGGAAATATGCACACATTCAAAATAATATGTTCCTTATCCCAAGACAAGTAAGAATATGGTGAAGGAAAAATGGACAGGAATAAGAAGGAGATCTTTTGGAATTCACAGCTCAATCTTGGGGTATGACACTGTCCATGTAGTAGCTCCAATTAATCTTTCTTACCCCCTAATTGTTATGGCTCTCTGGTTAGAATGGAACTCATTTGATTAAAAGGGGGGCTAATAAATTGATCATAGTTTCTACTCAAGAAAGTCTAGCAAGTCACCTGCTTTTCATTTAGTGAACCTACAATAATTATTCAAAGAATAACAAAAACAGGAAAAAAATAGGAAAGCATGTCAAGATGAATATTTCTTTTGAGAGAACTTCTGTTGCTTCATTCCTTTTCATTGTGGAAATATGATTTTGGTGGCCTGTAATATTTCTTTTTGATCTTACACTTGTGGGAATGTTAAAATAATAGTCATGCCTAGGAATACAGAAAAAGTTTTGTCCATCTTTTTACAGTTATAGTTGTCTATAACGTGAGAAGTTTCGATTAGTGTAATTTGAGATTATATCTGAGATTCCTTTCTTTAATGTTTTTTCTTCCCTTCTTTTTCTGTGTTTAATACAGAAGGCCTTGGAAGGTACAGAGTGTACAGTGTACTGTATGGCTGAGTATGAAAGCTGATGACTCTAGCAAGAGCATTTCAGGGACCTAATGACTATTAGCCATGGCAAGGAATAAGGGGACTTTCATGCCAAATTGACTGTAGTCTCAGAGATTATAACGGCTGTTTTTTTCAAGAAAAGGTTGAATTAGAGAGAGACCCTAGGATGAAGTGAGTGTGAATTATAGAAGTTCCAAGTTATTACATCTTCAGTATTCCTGAGTTGTCATTAGTAAAAGCTGGTTATGAATAATGCTATTCAAGGTAATATGTTTGGCTTTTGAAGCAAGGAGTGTATTTTAAAGGTGATAATAAAGTAAATTCACAAAATACTATTTTAAGTTTAGAAGCATTTCCTGTGTAACCTAATAGTATAATCAAGACATGACTTCTAGTTCTATTCAAATGTTTTACCAGCTTTTTTCAAAAAGAGTATTTTAGTCAGCCTTCCATTACTCTGAGATAATTAAACTTATAAAATAAAAAGTTTTATTTTGGCTCAAAGTTTTGGAGGTTTCAGTCCATGGCTGACTAGGCAGAACATCATAGCAATAGCACATGACTGAGTAAAAATCACTCACTTACCTCATGACTGGGAAGTGAAAGTCAGAAGAGAAAAGGACTGAAGGACCCATTATTCCATTCAAGGGCATGCCCTTGGGGACCTGAGGTCCTCCCACTAGATCCCACCTTTTCTCTTAAAAATGTCACAACCTCCCTAAAGCCCAATCTGAGGACCAAGCCTTTATAAAATGCACCTTGGGGGAACACTTATCCATACTATAGCAGCAACCCAGATAGAAGAACGAGAAAAGCATTCCCTCCGGAGTCCTGGGGCAGTCCCAACATGGCCTAACTTTAGCACAACATCAGTGTATACTTTATTTTTAAAAAGTATACCTTTTGCATTCTAGTTTATACAAAAATCATTTTTTTCAAAATAATTTTCTCCCAAAAATACTGTCTTGGAGTAAAATCTGTACCTTAGAAAAGTTCGCCACATAACCTATAGTTTGGAAAACCCCAAGCACACTGCCACAATCCAGGAGGGAATATATAATTCAGGATTTTTTTTTTTTTAAAAGTGGTTCAGGGCAGTTGCAAGAAGAATAACCAAAAAGAAATTATCAACCTGTTAAATACAGGACTTCAAAAATGTTTAATGTAAATGATAATATGGACCATAGAAATGTTCATTTTCATAAGGACTGTGGTTGCCCCATATAATTTGTTGTGGTTTTTTTTTTTTCATATAAATGTCAGGTTCTTACATGTTACTGGTATTACTTGAAGTTATAGAATCTCCTTACCAATATGGAGGTCCTAAGTAGAAAGTGTTTATATTAGTTTGATCTGGAAAAACCCAAAAACACAGAATGTGGAATTAGGTTAGCAGCAGAGGTGTTAAGAATTATCTTTTGAGTTTAGGCTTGGGAGTGAATACCGCATAATTTTAAAATCTTCTAGATGGTTGTATTTAAATTTCATCTGTCTCTTAACTCCTCCAATAGTAATTTATGGATCTCAGAACAGAAGATGGAGATTTTTAGTTTGTATCTCTGTTGTAAAGGAGAGTTGAAGGTGCAGAGACTTGAGGGTAATCACTGAGTGCCAATGATGATTTAATAAGTTCTTGAGAAGACTTGAATAGCAAATAGTAATATCTGTGTTCTGTCTTATCAAGTGTCCTCCAGTGATGGTATATACCTCTTAGGAACAATACATACCTCTCTTTTTTTAATTAATTTTTTTTATTTATATGTGACAGTGGAATGCATTACAATTCTTATTACACATATAGAGCACAATTTTTTCATATCTCTGGTTGTATACAAAGTATATGAATATACCAATTAGTGTCTTCATACATGTACTTTGGATAGTAAAGTCCATCACATTCCACCATCATTTCTAACCCCATGCCCCCCTCCCTTCCCTTCCCATTCTTCTGCCCTATCTAGAGTTTGTCTATTCTTACCATGTTCCCCTTCTCCCTACCCCACTATGAATCAGCCTCCTTATATCAGAGAAAACATTCAGCATTGGTTTTCTTGGGAATGGCTAACTTCACTTAGCAATATCTTCTTAATTATGTGATGAATATGTTATAACAGAATACTTATGGAATTTCTTCTTGCTTGGCCATAGTTTAAAGAACTGTTTATAATCCTTACTACTTAAGTTTTAAGACATCAGAAATAAACTTAAAGCCTAATTAAACATTTTACCAAAAATAGAATATGTTTTATCCTTTTAAATGATTTGTATCCTAAGAAATGATATATATCCTAAATGATTTTATATGCTAAGAAAGAAAACTCTATAAATATGTAATTTATTTATTTTTAATATTTTTTTGGTTATAGATGGACACAATACCTTTATTTTTATGTGGTGCTGAGGATCGAACCCAGTGCCTCACACATGCAAGGTGTATGCTCTACCACTGAGCCACAACCCCAGCCCCAATCTATAAATAATTTATATCCTAAGAAAATACTCTTCCCTGTGCTTAGAACTCTTAGGAGGGAAAGTAGAACTCTTAAGTGAAAAGTCTATGATTATAGATCATGTTGCTACTAAAAGAGAACACACGTTAATCATTGCTCTAATGCCACAGCACATTCAGTTCCCTGCCTCCTCACTAGTTTGTTTCTTTAAAAAAAAAAACAAAACAAGAGTGATTGGATGTTTCTTTTGACTGTTGGGGAATATTGATATATTAAAAATAGAACACATTAATTTTATTTTCTATAGCCCAAGGGTGTAGGTTCTGTTATGTTCTACTGAGGCCTGTTATTGTATGTTTTTCTATTCATTGTCATTTTTAATATTAAAAAAAAAAATCTTCATTGGGTGCCGTGGTTGCAAACCTGTAAACCCAGTAGCTTGGGAAGCAGAGGTAGGAGGATCACAAGTTCAAAAGCAACTTAGGGAGACCCTATCTCAAAATTACTTATAAAAAGGGCTGAGGATGTACCTCAGTGGCTGAACACCCCTGGGTTCAATCCCTGGTACCAAATAAATAAATAAAATAAATCTTTTGCCAGACAAAAGAAATTTACTAAAATTTTTATCAAAATATGCATACTGAGTTTGATAGGAGGCTATCTATAATGTAGAAATTCAGAGATCACACATTTTATACACATACCAAAATATACTATAGTGGTATACTTATAAATATGTACAATTATTAGGTATCTATTGAAAAATAATTTTTAAAAGAAATCTAAGAATATTATTGAAACTTAAAATTTCTGTGCTATTTTGAAGTACTGAGTGTCAAAGAGATAAAATTTTTTGGACAAAATAATATCCCATGAACTCTGTTTCCATTATTAACATAATTTTAACACAGGCAGTATAATTTAGAAAACTTTACATGTTGAAACTGTTTAGACCCCTCCTATTTCTGCTGCGAATAACATCATACCAAGATTTTTAAGCAAGATAAACTATGACTAAGAATTCACTGAAGTTTCTCTTCTAAATACAGATTGCTGAGTCATGTCTCAAGATTTCAGAGACAACAAATATGCTTAATTTATAAAAAGAAAGTTGAAAAACATCAGCTCTTGATGGGGCTGAGCGTACCCTCAGAACACTGGTTTAGCCCTTAGCCCACAGTGAAGTCTTCCCAATAGTAGATAGCCAAGCTTTGCATGCCACGTCCAAACTTTTCAGGATTGTCAAAGTTCAAATATCATCTAGAAATCTAATTAGTGGAGATCAGTTGACTTTTTTACAAACAATATTTTTGGTTAGTGAGTTCTAGTCCAAGTTCGTTTGTTGTTTTTCTGAATTTCTTGTTTATCTTATCAAAATAAAAAGGAGGTAAGCTAGATTCATATTAAGACTAAATTTTTGATTTTTCTCAACAGGTTATATCAGTCAGTGAAAATTCTGTATTCCTTTGGCATCTTTGTGACATATTCAATTCAGTTCTATGTTCCAGCAGAAATTATTATCCCTGGAGTCACATCCAAATTTCATGCTAAATGGAAGCAAATTTGTGAATTTGGGATAAGATCCTTCTTGGTTAGTATTACTTGTAAGTATCACTGCATACTTATATTAAAATAATTTTTATTGTTGAATTTCTTAAAATTATATTATCACAAATAAACTATTATAACAGGAAGCATAAGAACACTGGACCAGCCTGGGATTGCTAAAATGGTCATATTATTGGTATTCCAAGGAACAAGCAGTTCTGGGAATTCTGTTTTGGCCCATTTAGGGTTAGAGGATATAGACCTAGAACTTCTGGTCAACTCCATAAATCACACTGAGCAGTGTGGATGGAGCTTGTGCCTATATTTAAAGAATTGATTGTGTTATATTTTGTTTGAAAGAGAAAAATAAAACTGGAAAGAATAGATAAAACGTATTAAAGTAATGATATAAAAGAGTTACATCAATTTATAAGGGAAATCATATTGCTAAATAAAGTTGATGAGCCCATTTTTTGGGGGCTCATGAGATATCCAGTAGGAAAAATTTATTTTTAAAAAATTAAATGGGTTTTCATACATTGCTTTTATTGACATTTTGATAATTGGACTAAATAAAAAGAAAAAAATTTAATTCCTAGGTCCTTGATACACTTTGAGTTGAGTTTTGTATATGGTGAGAGAGAGGGGTTTAATTTCATTTTGTTGCATATGGATTTCCAGTTTTCCCAGTTTTGGCACCTTTGTCTAATATAAGATAATTATAACTTTGTGGGTTAGTCTTTGTGTCCTCTATTCTGTACCATTGGTCTACCAGTCTGTTTTGGTGCCAATACCATGCTGTTTTTGTTACTTTTGTTCTGTAGTATAGTTTTTAAAGGTCTGATATAGTGATGCCACCTGCTTCACTCTTCCCCTAAGGATTGCTTTAGCTATTCTGGGTCTCTTATTTTTTCAGGTGAATTTCATGATTCCTTTTTCTATTTCTATGAGGAATGCCATTGGGATTTTGATCAGAATTGCATTACATCTGTATAGTGTTTTTGGTAGTATGGTCATTTTGATAATATTAATTGTGCCTATCCAAGAGCAAGATAGATCTTTCCATCTTCTAAGGTCTTCTTTGATTTCTTTCTTTAGGGTTCTGTATACATATTAATAGAGGCCAGAATTTTTAATATCTTTATCCATTTCTGCACATGGGCAGAATAAGTTTATTTAGCACTTAGTAGATCTATTTATGATAGTTGTCTGTAGATGACACAGGCCAATGTATTTATAATAATCCCATAGTGAATATTTTTAATAACTAAACTATTCTTATCTTAAACATTCCTTAGTTTTATTGTATTTGCCCATTTGAGTTTTTGTATTATGGATTTGTCTAAAGTTTATGTACTACTTTGTCTACTCATTTCATTACTAAATGACATTTTTTAAGTCATTTTCAGTAGCAAATATATATTGGTTATATAAGATTTTAAATATGGCTTTAACTCATTGAAATTATACTACTTCTGTAATATGAATTGTAATACAGTCTGCTGTCATATATAACAAATTAGAATCAAAAATTAAAACAACAACAACAAAAAGAAATTATACTACTACTTGATTTTAAAATGTTTGGTAGAAATTTAATATATAAATAATAACATTATATAGTATTTTTCCACATGGTTTCTCACAGCAGTATTTCACTTGAACCATATGTAGGGAAATAGATATATCACAGAAAATTTAATAAAAGACAAAGAAGCTAGAAACAAGAAAAGCAAAAGGAAATGAACTTAGAGAGATAACAAAGAATTAGAGACAAGTCTCTAATTCTTTGTTATTTGAAGACAAGTAAAGGAGAGTCAACACTGGCATAATTGGCCCCAAAGAAAAAACTTTGGTGATATGTTTGTCATTGTTGATAGTGATGGTGGTGTTGCCACAGCATGCATGGAGCAAATTCGGCTGTTATTTCTGCTAGCAACTCCAAACTCTCAACAAATCACAATTTAAATATAATATGAAGAAGGACTATGATTTTTGATGTTTATAAACATTTCTGTTGACACCTTTTGATAAGATCAAGATAAGATCAAGAAAGCACCAGGCTACAAATTACAAACTTGAAAACAGCTTGGAAGAAAATTCTTCTGACAATAGTGAAGCATGCAGTTAGGAGAAATGAGTTCTGGTGTTTTACAATACAGTAGGGTGACTGTAATTTGCAACAACCTATTATATATTTTATGATAGAAAAGATAAACTGAAATGCTCTCTAATCAAAGAAATGATAAGAAGATGGAAATGCTAATTTTTCTGATTTTTTTTTCTGTTTTGCAGTACTAGGTATTGAACCCATGGATTCTTTACACTAATCCACATCCCCAACCTTTTCTTTATTTTTTATTTTGAGATAGGGTCTTGCTAAATTTCCCAGGTTGGCCTCAAACTTGTAATTCTCCTGCCTTCACCCCACCCCCCCTTGTAATTATAGGCATGTGCCACCCTGCCTAGTTTAATTATCCTGATTTGACTATTATATATTGTGTACATCTATCAAATTACCACACTATACCCCATAAATATATACAATTAAAGACTGAGCTAAACTCAGTTTATTTAAAAGTCATTTTAGTTTGAAGTAATGTAACAGAAAAGTTGTAAAAGAAGGTAGAATTCCTATAAATCTTTTACATAGCTTCCTCTCATGTTCTTATGTTATGTCACTATGATACAATTATTAAAATCCAGGAAATTAACATGGTATAATGCTACTAACCAATATATAGACTTTATTCTAGTTTTCCCATTAATATTCTTTTCTGGTCTGGGAATCAATCCAAGGTTCAACTTGAATTTAGTTATTATGTCTTATTAGTCTCTTCTAGTCTTGATAGTCCTTGTCTTTGTCTTTCTATTTTTGATTTTGTCTCTTTGTCTTTGAACTTGACACTTTTGAAGTGCCAGTAATTTTGTAGCATTTTGTCCAGTTTAGATTTTCCTGATGCTTGCTTATGAGTAAAATCAAGCATTTAAAAAAGAATTACAAAGGAGTGATGCTCTGCACTTCTTAGTACATCGCATCATGGTTTTAGTATGTCTCACTGGTGATATCAACTTTGTTCACTTGGCTAACATGGTCTCTGACCTAGATCTCCATTTTAAAGACACTATTTTTCCTTTTATAATTAGTATGTTGTAGAGAGGTATTGTGAGACTCTGTAAATATCCTGATCTTCACTTGTAGCATCCTTGAGTGAGTTTTCCTGTTCAATGATTATGTTGGTATTTGGTTAAAATGATTTTCTACTTCCATCACTCTTTCCATTTTGATTAATTGGATTATTACTGTAAGGACTAGGTGTCTCTTCGCTCCCATTTATTTATATCATATCACCCCCTGTTTTGTGCATTGTAGAATGATCTGTATGACAGGCAGAATAATTCAAATACTTTGGAAATAAACTATCCAAACTTCCGTAGAGCAAAAAATTAAACATTGTTTATATACAAAACTGTTGACAAGTCAAAGTTCAAGAAGTATCACTCTACTGTTTTGATTTCTTTTCCCTTTTTTTTTAATCTGCTCAGAACAAACTATAGCAGAGTTTTCCAAAGCAATAGTTTAGTAGTCTGACTTCCATTAGCTATTTTTACTATATTGAAAAATATTTAGTATTCAGTAAGTATTCATACTGTATTTAGTACTCATGTAAGTACTAGATATTTAAACTAGATAAATATGTATTTTTATTTTCAGGTGCTGGAGCAATTCTTATTCCTCGTTTAGACATCGTAATTTCCTTTGTTGGAGCTGTGAGCAGCAGCACATTGGCCCTGATTCTACCACCTTTGGTTGAAATTCTTACATTTTCTAAGGAACATTACAATATATGGATGATCCTGAAAAATATTTCTATAGCATTCACTGGAGTTGTTGGCTTCTTATTAGGTACATATGTAACTGTTGAAGAAATTATTTATCCAACTACCAGAAATGTAGCTGGTACTCCACAAAATCCCTCTCTGAATTTGAATTCAACATGCTTAGCATCTGGTTTGAAATAATAGAAGCAGAGTTCAGATTCTTATACTTTTGTCTCAGTTTGGAAAGCAATTAAAATAAGAACAGTAAAATACACATCACCATATACTCAAAAATAGATCATCCTCTCCCCATTTTTGGCACAGTGTTAATATTTTGGCAGAAAACTACAATACTTTACCAGTAATGGTGAACTATGACATGCTTTAAATAATACAATAATGTTTAAATTACTTTGGACAATTGAAAAATTAAAATATAAAAAAATTAAAGAATAAAAATATTTCTAAATTATTTATAATTTCTGTAAGAAACACTTTAATCAATATTTCTCTCTTACCCCCATGCTACCTTTTTGCCACCAAGTTGAGGAGATATAGGACTTCAACAGTTTGGGAATTAAATCAGGACATACATAACAAAAGTCTCTCTCTAGACCATCCCAGTGAATATCAGAGTAAGCTTTTTGTATAACGTAAGAAAATCTGGATTGTTTTTATTAGGTATTTAGCCAAATACTTACTTATGCTTAGCCCATCCATTGGAAAATACACTTCCCATTATATAAGCATCAGAAAATCCCCCAAACAGAATTATTTTTACACTGTACTGTATAGTAGGTGATCTTCATATTAGGCAGGAGGTACTTAGCAAGATTCTGATTTAGTGTTTCAGTCAGATTTGGAAGGGACTTTAAAGGTTACCCAGTACAACTCCTTGTAAGTTGTAAGTGAAGACTCAGAAAAGTTAAGCAACTTGGTTAAGGCCGCTTGGGCTTGAGAAAAAGAGAACCTGATTTCTTGACTACCAGGCCAGGGATTTTATTTTTCACATCACATCCAAGAATAAATTATCTTCAGTTTAATTTTATTGTTGAGTCTATTTAATTATATTTTTATATTTTGAAAGTGGGTATATGATCTTTGAATAGTATACATCACCTGAACAGAAAACCAGGAAACTAAGAACCGAGCACTGTGGCTTCATACCTCAGCAAGGGAAAGAAGCAATTGTTTTTTAATACAGAATTGAGACCATTGCTGCTATGACATGGTGGGCTAGAATGGGCCGTGCTGCAGTGTTTGTGGCTGGAGCTCTCCTTATGTTCCTTCTCTTCCCTCAGTTTCATAGGCACTATCTTCCTTAATAGCAGAAAATAGATACTGACGAAATATAGGACTTGTGGATTTTTTCAGCCTTATGGCTTTCCTTCTTCCAGTCTTTCATTGATCTGAATGGGCAGAATAAAAGAACCATAAAATGCATGGATAGGGGGCTGGGGCTGTAGAGCGCTCGCCTAGCATGGGTTCGATCCTCAGCACCACATAAAAATAAATAAAAAAGAAGTATTGTGTCCAACTATAAAAACTAAAAAATATTTTTAAAAAATGCATGGATAGGAAAAATTCAAACAATAATAATCTGTTAACTAAATATTGAGACACTCCAGGTATCTTCCAGAGAAATACCTTCTATTCTTCCAAATTCTTCAAGCACACTTAATAACCAGAACAAATAATCTCATTTGATGGGGAAGATGAAAATTATTAAGTTTAAAGCATAAGGAGAAGAATTTCTTCTGACTTAAAAAAATTCAAACTTTAAAACATGGAACATTTTAATTGGCCTGGTGGTAGTCTAATGGATAATGCTGCAAGATGCCATTAAACTCACTGTAGAGAATATATTCTCTATTTTTGTATATAAATGTTTACATAGGTATTTTTTGCTTATGTCATTCACTGATCATCAGTATGATCCTAAAAATATATCAGAAGCTTTATTTTGCTACAGATTCATAAGAATCAAAACTTCTTAAAAACATTTACATTAAGTATTTCCAATAATAGTTTTTGTAATACTTTTGTATTAAATATGTTACATTGAGTCTTTATTCATACTAAGAGAATATGGAAAAGGAAAAGTAATCTTCGTTGAAACTAATGTTATATAATCTTGAATCTAAGAATAAATTAGATGTTTTAAAAATTTATAAGTTGTAAAATGATTAAAAAACCATTGCTTAATGGAAAATAGCATTAGTTTTTTGTCAGCTGTCTTCACAATGTATTTATAGTCTGTGTGAAATTTTATTTTTGTACTTTCACCTATTTATTTCCTTATGGAATTAATAAAATATAATGAAATATTGAATAGTTGTTCATAAAAATAAATTTTACATTTAGCATCAACACATCTTGAGCATATTGTCAACTGGGCTTTCATATGCAGTGATAATGCTGACTCAACATCCAATTTGAAAGTCACTAAATTATCAAGATTCTACAAGAAAAAATTGAAATTTAGAAAGGAAGAAGGGCTAAATGGGGAGAAAATGGTTTTAATTTTTAAGATACACTAAATGCAATGTTTCAATGCACTCTTATTTAAGCGTATTTGATAATAATATTACTACATAATCATTACAGATTTTATGCCAGTTTTTTGTGAAAGTGGGGTACAAGCATTAAGTGAAGTTTTTTTTTTTAAGCATTGTGTTGTTATTAAAAAATCATTTCTTACTAAGCTGTCTTTGGTGGAAGATCAGGATGCACAGAGTGCTCATGAATATGCATTAGTTCAGTGTCAATGATTCTGCAGTGAAATACATATTTATCATTGGTAATATTTTTCTGAAATTTAGTTTTTATGAGTCATAACATTTTCTAAAGATTTTTGGAGAAAATATTTTGATTGTATCAGCTGTTGGTTTTACTTTGGGAGCTGGGAGAATTGAGAGTGATTGTACCTGTGGAATTTTGTGTCTACTGTTTTTTGGTCCATCATGATATGGTTGAAATGACAGCATCTATCTACTACACAGTGAAAATTTTTTTCTGAAAGTTGTCTTGTCTGAGAGTCATCTCTGCTGAATGGGTGGGGCAGGGGAGAAAACCTTTATTTACCTCTGGTGAAGCTCTGTTTTTACCAAGTTATCTCTGCTCCCTTACACCTAGAGTTTTATTAGGATCAGAGTCAACTTGTTGTTAAAACACTGCTTCCCAAACATTTTGTCAGAGGAAATTTATCCCTCATGGCCAGATTTCTTTACAATTAAGTAAGAGTTTTTGTTGGTTGAAGATTACTTTAGATGCTGTTACCAAATGAAAATAAGTATTGTATTAGCAAATGCCACATTACATTTTAATTCTGTCCTTAATTTTTCTTTATTAAAATGATCTCTGCCTCTTGTGTAGAAAATGCACTTAAATTTTTACAAGAGGATTATACACTGCATGTGTTATAAATTTTCTAATGGGATTTGATTTCCCTCAATATTTGCTTAATAGTTACATAGAAGCTGTTTAACTTCAAAGTACTATAAAATATTAAAGTTCTATATTATGCCATTTCTAGTGGTGAAAAAACACAGATCTTGCTGTAACTTACCTGTCTATCTCTTCACCACAGATGTCAATGTAACATCTGAGTAATGCATTTGTTGACAATAGGTACCCAAATTCCATTTCTTTATCTCTTATTTTTCATTTAAAAGGGAGAAGATACAGAGTAGAGTTGATGTATATATTAAATAAAATTATTTAAATAATACTAGTATTTCAATGAATGTTGAGGCATAGAATAATTTGCTATAAAAATAAACATTAATTTTAAAAAGTTGATTTATTTTGGTCTTTTTGGCTCCCTCTTCATACTATAATTTGAGAAGCTGATCTAAAAGATTGGATACTTCTAACATTAAATTACAGACTGTGATAGTTAATACTTTATAGAATTATGGTTAGTCTAATACATACCACTAACATTTACTTCTAGGTCTCATATCATTCTGAAACTGGTTGGTTTTGGCCTAGGAGATCAGAATATATGCTTAAGAAATGACTAGACATGGTATTTGTTGTCCTCTCATAAGTGAAATGATGGATCACGCTGATTCTTTAAAGTTTATGTTAAAATAGGCTAATTCCTGCTGGAATGTGTGCACCCACATGTACAAACACACACCAGTAACTTACGTGAACTAGATAAAAATATAATCTACCATTTAAATTGGATCCTGAAAGATGATATATTGGAAATATCACTCTAAAAAATTGTGCATTTGAGTTTTCTAGGCAACAAATAGGAAAAGACATGCTTATGACCTAAATAAATCAAGCTGTGGATTTTTGTTTTTCAAAAGGATTTTGTTAGTTTTAGAACTGAATGTCATTGTGCTCAAGTCAATTGTTTTATTTTTCTTTGTAAAAGAATATGAAAAAGTCTGTCTTAAAGTACTGTAATGCTTCTGAGTTTTCAATAAAACATAATTATTTTGCTTTAAGTTGCCTTTTTAAATAAATAAGTCCTTTGTAAAGTTTAAATGACTTTGAGCAGATGTCATAAGCTGAAAATGGTATTAGTATAATATTCTCATAATAACACCTAAATCAGTTTTTATGGTTAATTATTTGTCATTTTGGAAATTAATATTGAATACTTCTAAGATTAAGAACAGAAGTTGATTAAAAATGAAAGGACCCATTCAAAACCATGGCTTAAACTTCCTACAGAGTGAATGCAGGATTAGCCTTCTGCAGATGCTGCTTTGATTATTTATCACTCTCCTGATCTCAAAAAGTCTTGAAGAATTGTAAATGTTTTCACCTCAAAGAAAAATGTGTTTGAGGTGATAGTTGTAAACATTACACATTGTATACAAATATTTAATCATGTTCAATACCCAGTAAAGTTTTTTGTGCCATTTAAAAAATAGAGAATATAAAAAATTTAAATGATAAAAATCCCAACTTCTTGCCAATGGACCCTTTGCTTGCAACATTATATTGGAACGATGCTTTTGGAAAGCCTATGTTAACCCCTTGTCAAAGACCACAAAAATATTTATACCTATCCATCAGGGATTCTGCTCTTGTGTCACCTGAGGATGTCTTATAGCAGAGAAGACAGACTATACCTAAAGACTACACCTATATCTGCACCATTGGGCTTTAACAGTGAAAAATTGCAAACAATTCAAGTTCAGCAATAAAGAGTTCATTAATTGTATTCACCTAGAATACAATAGATATTGTACAGAGATTTCTAATTTGGGAAAGAAAATATATATAAATTGTTGATTGCAATTCTGTAAAAATATTCTTGTGTAATAACAGAAAATGGAGCCAAGGTATTAGGATAAAGAAAATGGATTTCACTATTTCAAAATAATGAGTCAAAGGAGACTGCAAGAGAAATAAAGGGAAATGGTTTGGGGGAGGCAGTGGAATTTATAAAACCTTATTAGGCACAGGGGTATAGCTCAGATGTAAAGCATATGCTTACCATGCCTGGGACCCTGGGTTCAATCCCCAGCACCAAAACAACAAAGTAGTAGTATATGTTCCTGGCAAGCAAGAGCAGGAACAGGGATTTGTCTGTCTGTATCTACATATCTCCCCCTAATATATAAAGAGAGAGAGGGTGGGGGAACTAGGTGCATAAAGATGTAAATGTAGTGAAAATCCCTGTAGAATACTTGCTAGAGGAAAAAGATGCATGGTTACTTTGAAAAAATTATAATTTAAAAGATTTAGAGCAGTTTTTCTTAAGAGATAAACACATGCTAACAAAATTTTGCATATGGAATAATGGGGCTCACATTCCAGGGGTCCATGGACTTCAGGGGGTAGTATTCTTGGGAAACATGCATCAGTGCTTGAAGAAGAGATTTGGTTGAAAGCTTCCCTGCAAAGGAGTTTGTTTGATGGCTTAATATGGTACCAAGGAGTCAGGTCTTTTGGTTCTCAACAGTTTTCTGTACTATAAAGCATAGGAAAAGCTAGTAGTGGATGATAAACTGCTTCTTAACTAAAGCTGTTTGGTTAATCTTGTGAAGAAATTAGGAAGTGATTTTGTTATCTTCTGTGCTGTTTCTTGGACTTTGGATAGAGAATGACCATGAAATATTCACCCACACTGAGTGAGGAGGTACGAAGTCCTGTGGTGGGCCAAGCTCGAACAGGTCTACAGTAGACTAAGAAAGTAGATAAAAAGAAAAGAAAAATGCAGTATAGCACCTTCCATCATGGACCTGTGGTGTCTTATTTATAGTTTCAACACCTATCAGTACTTTTCAAGGAAACAGGAGTTGAACTGTCCTTTCTTTTTTCTTGTATCCTTCTCCAGTCATGACTGATCAAAGACCTACATTCTTAATGTGGTACCAGAGCAGCACACCCCTGTCTCACCCTACAGGTAAAAGCAACACCTTACAGCTTATGGCACCACAAACATGCTACACACATTCTGTGTTTGATCGGCATTGACTCCATCACCTCCAATGATTTCCTTCTCTGTTATGGTTTGGATATGGAATGTCCCCCACAAGCTTGTGTGTCATAAGCATGGTCTCCAATGCAACAAAGTTCAGAGGTGGGCTTTTAGGCAGTAATCAGATCATGAAGGCTTGGACCTCATCAACTAGATGGACTACTGGAAGGTGGGACCTGGTTGGAGGAAGTGGGTCACTGAGAGCATGCCCTGAAGGGTTTGTCTTTTCCCTGGTACCTTCCTCTCGTTTCCCCATTTTCATGAACTGAGCACCTGTTCTCTGCCATGCCCTCTTGCTTCACTTCAGAACAATTGAGACCTCTGAAAACATGAGCCCAAATAAGTATTTCCTTCTGTCAATTATTCTTGTCAGTTATTTTGGTCACAATGATGAAAAGCTGACTAAAATGAACATTTTCACCCATTTTTCTTCCTAGCCAAGCCTTAGTTGCTAGGATTTAGTTTAGGACTCTCTTCTATAAGCAAGCTTTTCCTTACAGCCTTGCTCCTATTCAAAGTGAGTTTTGTAGTTCTTCATTTTTTAATTTGTTTTGTCTGTTTACCCTCCCTTTGATGATACAATCTCCAGATGGAGGCTGCTTTGTTGATTATGTTCACTGATGCCTAGAAAAGTGTTAGGTCCATGATACATGCTCAGAAACAGTTGTTGAATGAATGAATAAGTTGCTGAAATAAATAAAAAAAAGAAAGGAAAAGCCCATATTAAATCTCTGATATTTAAAATCTTTAAGCATAGGAGAAAAGTTGTGTTTTTTGCCCCTATGACTCATTTGTTGAATGAATGTGGCTAACCCTCTTTTCCACTTTGTATGCTAGCACAAAAAGCTAAAGCAAAGACAATCAAGTCTGAATGTCCTACAGAAAATTCCATGAGAAGAAATTGGTTAAAGGGTACAAAATACATTAAATAGGAGGAATATATTCAGGTGTTCTATGACAGAGTGTGATTATAGTCAGTAATATCATATAATATAATTCAAAATCTCTAGAAGACATGATTTTTATGTTTCCATTATACAGAAATGATAAATGTTTGAGATGAATGATAATCTGAGTTGATCAGTAAATACATAATGTACTGAAATGTTACACTGCACCCTATAAAAATGCACCATTATTTATCAATAAAAAATTGAAGAAAACAGAATCAGACAAGCCTTAAAAACATGCAGAACATTCTGGCAATGTGTGTGAAGTCTATAAGAAGGAAAATATTTTAAAAACCCTTCCTCCTAACCCTTCATGTTTTATGTAAGCAGATTGAATTTTGTGGAAAAAAGTGAATTTTCTATCCATTGTTTAAAAATTAGATGCAATCTAAAATGCAAGTGGTCCTTTTCTGTCTAAAAATACAAAAGTGTAACATCTAAATCTAAGAATGTTTTCCTGGACTTTTGTTACCAAGGAGTTCTCTGCTTGTTAATGAGATATATTTATATATATTCAGTAGTTTTGGGGATCTTCTGACCAAAGATGGCATTCCCAGCATTCTGAAAATCTACCTACTAACTGACTTCATCATGGCATATGCCATAAAAGGACCCCCATGCAAATAAAAAATGAGAATCCTCAAGTGTTGGGGAAAGTGAATCTGCCAAGATGATCATTCTGTACAAATAGCTAGAAATGAAAACAAGAATAGCAACATATAGCTGTGTAGTATATAAGGAGGAAGTGCTTTGTGACTTTTGGTTATTATACTACAGAAAACACATCCCATAGCAGGAGATTTTTTTTTTAATTAGAAGTTATTTTCAAGCCATCATGTACACTGGAGAACATTTTTTGTGCTCAATTCTGACAGACCACTGAATTATTATGGGACTTGATGAGTGACCTCTAAATGCAAATCCACACATTACTTTGTTTTCAGAGATAAACTACCAGTCTACCATAGTACCTCCTGGCTGCAAGTTTATGATTAAGGAAATAGTGAGAAATATAGCTGTGATAGCTTGCAGGTATTGAGTATACCTTTTCAGAACATTCTTCCAAGAAATGGGAGAGTGAGCATAAAAATGCTCGTTGACAGAGGGAAAGTTGTCCTAGGAGCTGAGAAATTAGGGATGGGAAAATTTCTCCATTGATGCTGATAATATTAAAAAGATAATTTTGTCATTTCAAATGCATGGTGTGCTCATAAATATCCTTAATTATATTGAAAGCCCAGAATTATATTACTTCCAGGATGAATCACTATGAATTTTCAATGGCGAGGATAAAATATCAAGGTTAAAACAAAGCAAAACAGAAAATAAGCTCTGGTCCTAATGCCTCAGTCACTGAACTTTTGACTCACAATATTTGATGAGTTTCTTTTCCTAAGAGAAAACAAAGCAATGAAATCTTAGGCACATGTAAAAATCATATCAAGATGCTGCATGAAACATGAAGAACTGCTCTGCAGAGTGCAATGCTTTCAAAGAATAGATTAGAAATTGATTTGTCACAACCTCGTTTCAATTAGATTTGGGGCTTTACTGCTCAATGGTAAATCTTTCCATTAATTCTGGATCTGTGCTTTAGCTGAATATCCAGAATGATGAGGCGAAGCCATCAAATAATTGATGACATTAAAATGACCTATAACCATAACTTTGGATTCTCTAATTTAAAAGCAATAAAGATGCAGGAAAGAAGCATTCTGTATGTAAAACCAAATGCTTCAATTGCTAAGCAGAAAACTTAATAAACTCAACCAAGGTTAGCAGCAAGATTATCTCTTCCACTGACATGACACAATTATTTTTACTATTAATATTACACTCCATTTTTTAAATTATTTAAACACTCATCCTGTCTCTATTCATTTAAAGTTAATGGTCCAAGAGAACACAGAGCAACCACTAACTGGGCTGAGGTTAAAAAAACTAAGACATTGGTAAAAGGTTGTAGGTGGAATGATACACAATGCCTACATGTGGTGAAAGATTTTTTTTCAAGGTTTTTTTTCCAGTTTGTATCCATGGAAAATCAAAATGTGTTGAGAAT